CGGGTCACCAGTGGAATGGGGCGGTTGGGTGATAGAGGCGTCCATGGGGCGGTTGAGGCGGGCGGTGGGGCGGCGTACCCATGGCCGCCGAGGCTGCCGCGAGCCAGGCTGTGGGGGTGGGGGGCCATGAGGCCGCGGCCGGGTGGGGGGCCGGGGCGGACATGGGCGCGCTGTGGCTGGCGGTCGAGCGGTGTGTACTGGCGAGACGCCTGGGTGGCGCCTGCGGCGGTGGTGCCTGTGGCCGGTCGGGGCCTGGGCCTGGTGCCCTCAGCCGCATGTCGGCCACGGCCACTCGCAGACGGCGGCTACCGGTCGGCTGCAAGGGGAGAGAGAAAGAGAAAGAGAGAGAGAGAGATCAGACTCGCCGCCCCTGGCCAGGCCCTGGCCGTGGCGATGGCGCATGTCGAGCTCGGCTCCGATGCCCGTGGCAGCTGCGGTGCAGAGACAGTTGAGACACGATCAGGAGCCGGTAGAGGTGGCGACGTCGTCGCGGAGGTGGTGGAACTTGGGGAGGGCTGAGCCGAGAAGGTCGCGGAGGGCAGTGTGGCGGGTGGCCGAGACGGCGGCGACGGCCGGGTGGACGGTGGCGACGACGGGCGGGTTGCCGACGATGGAGGCGCGATCTGGGGCGACGTAGCCGGTGGGCAGGAGACAGGACGCGCCTATGATGCAGCTGTCACCGAGAGTGGCACTGTCAAGGACACAGCGAGCACGCAGGAGGTTGTTATCACCCAGCGACGAGTCGCGGACGACGGCGCCGACACACACCACGTTGCCCGCACCCAACACCATGGTCCCGTCCGCTGCGGTGCTCTCCACCACCGCCAGCTCCTCCACCACACACCCGCGCCCGAGCACAAGCGCCGATCCGGCCGTCGCCCGGAGAACAGCCTTGGGATGCACGATGCAGCCGGCACCGAGCGTCACTGCGCCCTCTACCACCGCGTCGGCGGCGACCACGACCTCGTCGGCGGACCTGTGGGGGGAGGGGAGGGGATGAGGAGGAGGAGAGGCGGCGTACATGGTGGGGGCTTGCAGTCGGGTGAGGGAGGTGCTGCCGCAGGTCGGCCTGTCGGCTGGGGGTCGACCTGTCAGCTGGCGGCCGGCTGGCGGCCGGCTGGTGGCCGGCTGGTGGCCGGCTGGGGGTCGGCTAGGGGTCGGCTGGGGGTCGGCTAGTGATCGGGTGGGGGTCGGGTGGGGGTCGGCAGGTATTCATGGACGGCGTGATACCGCGGGTCAAGGCCTCCCGCTCGAGGAGGCAAGGAGGATGGAAGGTGGAGAAGGCTGCGCGCGATGGAAGATGCGCAGTGCAGTGCCGCAGCCAAAGATGATGCGGGTGTCGTCGAGCCGGGGCGCGCGCGGAGTAAACCGTTTGACCGCAAGGCGGGCAAGGTGGGCAAAGTCGGCATCGAGGGACCAAACCTCGATCCGCTTGTCAAAGGTGACCGCAGCGACTGCGGCGTCGTTGGCATGGAGGCCAAGGAGCGGGGCGCCCGAGCCGCAAGTCAGCCGTGTCAAAGGTATCTCGCCGCGGCGCATGTCCCATACGCATACACACCCAGCCAGATCGCTGGTCATAACCCGCGGGACTGGGCCGTGTCGGAGCTCGGCGCCCGATGCGTCGGCGACGATGCCGGTGATAAGGCCGTTGGCGCCGAGGGCGGTCCACGCTGGCCCGGCAGCAGCGGCAGCCCGCGTGTCAAAAACATGCACTGCCCGCGCCACTGGCACAAACGCCTGGTGCCGGCCGTCGCAGGCGACGCCGGGCATCTCAGCTCCGAGTGACGGCGACGCCCACACACGCCGCCCGGCGTCGACGTCGTAGACCAGGACTGCTTCGCCGCGAGTTGCCACCACCGCCGTCGTCTCACCAGCCGCCAGCGCCACCACGCCCGTCGGTGTCTCGATGTGTGCGGTATGGACGCCCGAGTCGGGAGCAAGGCAGTGCACGCCCGAGTCGAGGCCTGCCAGAAGCTGCAGCGGAGGTCCGTCCGCCGCTCTGCTCCCCAGCATCAGCGCAAGGGCGCGCACGTTGTCACTGCTCCTTTGGCGCACGATCGCGACCACAGCCGAGTCGGTTCGCTGTCGCCAGTCTCCAGCCGCACCGCACGGATGCTCTCGCGTGACGCTGAGCAAACCAGCTCGCCCCACACCGCCACGTCGGTGATGCGCGAAGTGTGCCCGGGCTTGACGCTCGCCCACGCCTCGCCATCGCCCTGCCACTGCGCCCGAAGCCGTGCCCGCTGCTCATACAGCTGCTTCCACGACGATGACGCCGCCGCTACCGGCTCGTTCTCGTCGCTCTGTTGATCCGATCGGCCGCCGCCGCCCTCGTCGCGCCCCTCGTCGGCAGGCCAGAGAACGCGATGAAGCGCACGATGTCGGAGACGGACCGAAGGCACGCGCGCCAGGACCGCACGTGGAGTGCCGAGCGGCGAGTCACACGATGACAGACGGGTCCGCGGGTGCCACGCCCGCTGCAGTGCGTGCGGCCGCCACACCGCGTTGTCCGAAGCTGCCGCCCGCCACGCCCGGCACACCCGCGCCGCCGTCGCCAGCTCGCTGGGCGCCAGGAACGAGAACACCAGCAGCACGAGCTCCGTCGGGAGCGCAGAGAAGCCGCACGCCATAGGCGAGTCAGCCTGTGAGATAGGCGCCAGGGCCAGTGGCGGGGCTGGCTCCGACTCGGGCTCCGGCTCCGGCTCGGGCTGGGCGCGCGCAGGCGTCGGTCGGCAAGGCGGGGAGCCGACCGACAAGCCCAGGGCCGAGGCTGGGCCCGAGGCCGCCGACGACGACCACCAGTCATCGGACCAGGAGGACGAGGGAGAGGAGGGTGGAGAGGATGAGGTGGCGGAGGGAGAGGGGGACGTGGCGTGTGCCCCGTCGTCCGCCATGGACTGTGCAGGTGGTCAAGTGGTCGGGTGGCCGGTTGGCGGCAGGTGGGCGGGCGGGTGGCGGGCGGGCGGGTGGCGGCAGCCGGCCAGGCCGGACAGGCGAGCGGGGAATTCGGGATGAGTGTGGGCCGAGGCTTCATGAACATTGGAGGCAATGGCCAAATTCGGGCAAAGATCAGCTTCTGTCGGGACATGTCGGCATCATGAATGCGGCGAGACTCGGACAGGCCGCCAATACTGCTCACAGCCACTTTCCTCACTACAGCGCTCTCTCGGTCACACAAGCTCCGCATCGCAGACGGAGACAGACTCGGCAGACAAGGGAGAGACGGAAGAGAGAGCAACGACGACTGGATCAGTGATTGACAGCGCACAGGCCGGGGAGCTGGGCGGGGGCATGGCCGTCTCCACCATGGCGAGCTTATCGCGCAAGCGCCGGCGTGACTCGCCGCATGTTCCTTCACAAATGCTTGAGGCTACGGGCGCGACGGTGGCCAGCCCTGCGCCCATGGCACACTCGCCGCCGGCACATGCCATGTCACATGCTTCCCACGGCGCAGGGTCTTCTGTCCGGGTACCACCGCCGGACGCGGGGCGCCAGTCCAAGGTGCCGCGGCTGCTGGCGACTCGCGGTCATGACGGGCCGGGTAGGCCCGGGTCGGGCACCCTCGTCTGCGCCCGCCCGCGCCGGACATCGGCGCTCCGCAAACGGCTGAGGTCGCCGGCGGCGGCGCAGGCGATGGAGGCGCTATTTGTGGCCAAGCGGCCCAAGGGCCTGGCCGATGACCGTGACCCGGCCTGCTCACTCCCGCCCGACATCGACCTGCGCTCGTCGGCCTTGCTGTCGCCGACGGACGTGCCCGCGGGGCTGAAGCGCCGCCGCATGTCGGGCGAGTTTAGTGGGAGTGAGTGCACCGACGACGAGTTGGCGCGGCTGGCCGATCGGGCTCTGCGCCCGGCCAAGCGCCGGCACGCACTCCGTGCAGATTCCTTGACATCGTGCGCCGATCTGTCGGCCTACCTGAGCAACACCTGCCAGTCTCTTGCGCTCTATCGGTCACAGGACGGGGATTCGCTCTGGCCCAACACGCCCAAGCTCTCGGTCGATTCACTGGCAAGCTTCACGGCCCCGTCGCCGTCGCGGCTGCCGGTCTCTTCGTCATCACTGGTTGGGCCGCTGTGGCCAACCCCGCTGACGCCCAAGGGCCGCGAGCTTGTGCTCGCAAGCAACTCGCGGCAAGCGGCCACGCCTAGTGTTCTTCAGTTTGGCAGCGGCTCTCGCTCAGTCTCGTCGTCGTCATCGTCGTCGTCGGTGCGGAGGCGAGAGTCGAGGCGGCGGGCAAGCGGTCACGGGTATGGGCGCGGGCGCGGTGTCCGCACATACTACTCGTGCTCGTCGCAAGCAACGCCGTACGCGTCATCGAGCCACCCTGTGTGGCCGCAGCGCGCCAAACCCAGCGTCATCTCGTCTTCGCCGCGCATTGTCGAGCTTCCGGATGACTACACAACCGACGATGATGACGGTGCTGCTAACGGGATCTCAGGCATGAATCTCGCGCCGGTCTCGATCATTGAGACCGGCATGTCGTCGTCGGACTCGGGCGAAGCCGGTGGGCCCGCGTCGGCGTCGGCGTCAGCATGGAATGGCGGCGTACAGGAGCAGGGCGCCGTGCCGCGCCAGCAGAGCGGACGGGCCCAAGTCGTGAGCATGGACCTCGCGTCACCGACGCCTCAATGACCGTGCCACAAAGGGAGTTGTAGTTAGAAAAAGTCGGCGGCGTCCTCGTCGTCGGCTTCGTCAAAGCCGCCAGAGAACGAGTCAAAGACAACGGGTGCGGGTGCGGCCGAGGCCGAAGACCACGACGGGAGCGTGGCGGTGGGGAACGGCATGCTCGACGCATCCGGTAGCGGCTCGGAGTTCGACGGGTGGTCAGCTGGCTCGGGCTCGTCGGGCTCCGAGTTGGCCGGAGCCCAGCCGCAGGCGCGGAAGAAAACCTGCATGTGCATGTGGACGTCGAGGGCGACAGCTAGGTGCGGAAAGTTGGAGCCGGTCTTGAGCTCCGCAACCCGGGCGTTGGGATAAAACTTGACCACTTCGGCGCGGGCTTTGGGCGGGACAGCGACGTCGTCGAGTGCGTCGATGATGAGGATGTGGTCCTCATCGAGCGGGACCGGTCCGTCGAGGTCGTAGTGCGAGGCCAGAGCCCGGCAGCGGGAGATGATGGCGTTGCGCGGGAGCTGCTCAACCTGCTCGACCATAAAGTCGATCGAGTCGGCCACCTCGGGAGCGACAAGCCCCGACGGCAGCCGCGAGAGCAGCTTGCGGCGGATGATGACGTCGGGCATAAAGCCGATGAGTGGGACGCACGAGAGGTCAGAGGCAAAGTGCGCCAGGTCCACAAATGCGTTGATGAGGACCAGGCCGGCAGCCAGGTCCGGACACTCTTGCGTAACGACCTGAGCCACAAACCCGCCGAGGCCCGAGCCAACAAGCACAGCGCGGTCGATGCCAAGGTGGGCGCAGAGGCCGATCACCACAGCTGCCAGGCCTGGAAACGTTTGGCGCGGCGGCAGCGAGAGGGCCACCACACGATAGCCGAGCGATCCCAGCGAGAGCAGCTGTCGGAAGAAGCACGCTGCCGACTCGGCCAGGCCGCCGATGCATATCAGTGGCGGAGTGGTTTCGTCGCCCTCGAGCCTGCTGCTCGTCTCTGCCCCGGTCACGCTCCGTGGGCCCACATCGTAGTACGTCACGTACTCGTCGTCCACCGTGGCCTGTCTCCTCGCATGGCGTAGCGTGCGCGATGTCATCCGAGTGGGTAACAGGGCAACCGAGCCCGTGAGGGTGTCATATGCCAGTCCGTGGTGGTGCCATGCCAGTCCGTGGTGGTGCCATGCCAGTCCGTGGTGGTGCCATGCCAGTCCGTGGTGGTGCCATGCCAGTCCGTGGAGGTGCCATGCCAGTCCGTGGTGGTGCCATGCCAGTCCGGGGTGGTGTTGCAGTCGCATGTGTGAGTGTGTGCCACCATGGCGGGGTGTGCCTCCTCTGCCTCCCCCTCTCCCTTCCTCCCGGGACGTACGTGCTTGACCGGCACCGCACGGACAAAGGCGTCGTGCTCGTGGCCAAAGCCTGTGCGTGTGGCAGCAGCCATGGCGGAGATACCGAGACGGGTAGTGTGGAGGGGTGGAGGGAGGGGAGGAGGAGGAGGGGGAGGAGGAGGAGGGAGAGACAGCCCACCTCGCCCTCCCCCCTCCCCTCCCCTCCCCTCCACCACCCCCCCCCCCCCCTCCCCCATCCTCCACAGCCCACCTGGATGGTCGATGGTGTCATCGCCAGTAGCAAGCACCACCAAAGCCACCACAGCCACCACAGCCACCATCCCATCCACCACCACTATCCCATCCACCACCACTATCCCACCATCCCCCTCCCCTCCATCGGCATGATGCCCATTGCTTCTGCTCCGTCATCACCTGGTCACACACCCCCCCCCTCCCCTTCACCCCGCCCACCCGCCGAACACCCGCCCACCCGCCGAACACCCGCCCACCCGCCGAACAGCCACCGAACACCCCCCCCACCCCCACACACCCACCCCGCCACTACCCACCCACCCCCCCCACACACAACTCCCTCCTCCCTCCCCTCCCGTTCCCACACACACACACATGGCGGCACCCCCCTGTCCGCCCCCGGCCGTGCCGCGGCTGCGGATCTTCACCGTCAACGATGTGTACTCAGAGGGCCCCAACGGGCGTGGGCTCGGCGGATGGGCCCAGCTCGCATCGCTGCTGGAGGAGGAGCGGGCGCGGGCGGCGAATGAGGGCATTCCGTCGCTCTTTGTGGTCTGCGGCGACTTTCTGGGCGGATCGGCGCTCGGGGAGGCCTTTGAGGGCCGGCACGTGGTGGAGATGCTCGAGGTGCTTGCGCCGGACATGGTGGTGGTGGGCAACCACGAGTTCGACTTTGGCGACGAGGTCCTCTCGCGCTACATGCAGGCCTCGTCGTATCCGTGGCTCGGCACCAACGTCTTTGTCCGCTCCGCAGGCTCGTCTGCGACGCCTGCCGACTGGCGCGAGCTCGATCTCATGCCGGGCGCCGCCCGCTGGCACGTTGTCGACGTCAACCCGCCGCCCGCCGCAGGCTCCGACGCCGCTGGTGTCAAGGTCGGCTTCATCGGCCTCTGCACTCCAGCCACCCCGAACCTCTCGTTCCCCTCGGAAGACATCGTCTTTGGCCAGCCCGTTGACGTGGCTGCCGCTGCCGTCGCGGAGCTCGCTCCCTCGGTCGACGCCGTCTTTGCCCTCACCCATCTGCGCGAGGCCGGCGACCGTGCCCTCGCCCAGGGCGTGCCAGCCATCAAGCTCCTCCTCGGCGGCCACGACCATGCACCTATGGTCTCGTATGAGGAAGAGACACTGCTGGTCAAGACCGGCATGGACAACCATTACCTGGGCATCATTGACGTGGTCTTCCATCCGCACCACGACGGCGCCGTCAACGTCGTCGCCTCGCCTACTCTCCTTGCCAACCACTCGCGCGTTCCGCACCCGGACATCACCGCCGTCCTTGCCAAGTTTAAGGCCGAGCAGGCAGCTCGCATCGCTGCAAACGGTGGCAACGAGGTCCTCTTCTCCGTCCCCGACGGCTGCGTCCTCGACACCCGCTCCGAAGTCATCCGCCGTCGTGAGGCTCCGATCTGCAACCTCATCGCCGACTGCATGCATGCCTACTTTGCTGGCAAGGGTGCCGTCGGCGGCATCATCAATGGCGGCTTTGTCCGCGGTAACAAGACATACCCCGGGCCGTGCGACATCACCGCTGGCGACCTGCAGTATGAGCTGCCGTTCCCCAAGACCATCTCGCTCATCGAACTCACGCCCGCCATCTTCAAGGCAGCGCTCGAGCAGATGCTCATCAATGCTCCCGACGCTGCGGGCTCATTCCCGCACCTCTCCTCGTCGCTGGCCATGGAGTTTGACGCCAGCCTCCCCGTCGGCGAGCGCGTGCTCGCCATCAAGCTCGGCTCGGTCCCGCTCGACCTCTCCGAAGACAACACCGACACCATCCGTATCACCATCACGTCGTTCATGGCCGTCGGCGGTGACTCGGTCGACTCGTGGCTGCGCGGCACCATTGTCGAGGATCTTGGCGACGACGGTCCGCATATCTCTGCCCTCTTCATCGACTATTTGCGCAAGGTCGGCTCGCATCTTGGCCCTGACGCCTTTGTCCCCGCTGGTCGGGTCACACAAGTCGGCGTGCCTGCCGACGCCAACGAGTAAATGGTCGGTATCGTGTCCCATCCCCCCCCCCTCGCCTACAGCAACTCTTTATCGACTCCGCGCCTGGGTTGAGGCGCGCACCCGCGCTTGCCAACAAGCTTGGCCACTCGCCACGCTCACCGACAGCAGGCTCGGCGCGGCCGCACTCTGCGCTCGCTCCTTAGCGCCGTCCCTACTCGGGCATAGCATACATCCGCGTCCACTCGCCGGCGGTCCGGATGGCGTCGGCCTCGTCCGACTTCCAATGCTCTGCCACATCGTTGGCAAGTGGGTCGTCCGGGTTCGGCGCAGACAGCAGTGCCTGGATCGAGAGCAGAACCGTCCGGATCTGCAGCGCAGGCGACCACCGGTCCTTGAGAATGTCCAGGCAGATCCGCCCAAGCTTGTCCACATTCGGGTGGTAGATCTTGGTCAGGAACCGCACCTTGGGCGCAGCCATCGGATACGAGTCCGTCAGGAAGAGCTCCAGTACAAAGATCCCGCCCTCGTACGCAGATGCAGACGGGCCCGCAATCATCACCCGGAAGTACCGCAGGTTGTCCTCGTGCGGCGTCGCAGAGATGCCCGGCGGCGGCGCAGACAGAAGCTTCTGCGTCTCCTACTCTCACCCCATGTCCCACCCCCCCACCCCCACCAGATCAGCCAGGTCTTGTGCGTGAGCAATCGCCAGCTCACATCCTGCCATTCCTCCCGCCCCCATCCTGCCGCCCTTCTCCCCCCCCCCCCCCCTATGCGTAGGATTGTACTTTG